AACCAAAAACATCATCGATCATGGAGAGCCATTCTATATAAGGTCTGGTGGAGTTGTTGAACGTATTTATTGAATGATAAATTTGCTAATATCCCTCCATATAAACCTAAGTTTGCTCACAAACCAATAATAAATACTAGGGATATCATGAAACTCACTTTCTATATTACATACTAATTACTAATTTATACAAAGCATAAACTGGGAAGTGAAATCCTAGATTTTCTATGATTCATTGTTTCGTACATTCAAACATTCAAGACTTTGGATTCAAACATATTAAACCGTTGGGTCAATAACTTTTAATTTAACAAAATGATGAAAATCAAAGTTATTGATATTTGGATTTTAATTAACAAAGAGATCACCAGAAAAAGAAGAAAAAGTAATAAAAACACAATGAAATAAGAATGTGTTTGTGATGATTGGATGTGTCTGCCTTTATCTCAGCTGTCCTAACGTAATATTTGATTATTTGTGGGGTCCACACTCATTGATTGGTCTCTCAACGTTGTTTGCTAAAAGTTATTAACATAAAAAATTAAGCGTGATTTGTTATAAAACCTTTCATTTTCTTCCCTACAAATATTGACCACTTTTATCATCTCTTGTGGCTTATTGAGCCAACCTTCAAAAAAAATAAAATAAAATAAAAGTGAACTTATAGATGCGTTCGAAAAATTTTAACTTTGTGTCATTCGAGTTATGGGTTACACTCGAACAACCTCAATATGTCAATAGAGAGTAAAAAATCGTTGATGCTCGTCAAGGCGCATTGCTTTGATGTTAGGAATGATGGATTTTTACGATGATATGATATTGTTCACTTTGAGCATAAGTTTTCGTGGATTTTCTTTTGATCTTCTCCTTTTCAATGTGGGACTTCTCTCAATAATCCTCCCCTAGAACTTTCTCTTAATTAGCCAATGTAGAACTCTTCACAGCACAGTTGAGTCACTTTTGACTAGATCTTCGAGACTTACAGTTTCTTTGGTCGAAATTTGAGGGTTCTATTGTAATGGCTAAGTTAAATACATGATTCTGATACCATGTTAAGAATGATGGATATCCACAATGATATGATATTGTGACTTTTCTTTTGGTTTCCCCAAAAGATATAATACCAATGTAGATACTATTTTTTTTATTTATAAACTGATGTTAGTCAAAGTAAGACCAAACATTTAATTCTGATTTAGTCTCGTAAATTGATTTGATTTTGATGGAACATTTGACGTTAATAAGAATTTAGATAGTTTATATGTCGATTTAATGAATAGTACATTAGGAGCATATATTGCTAAAAGAAGTTAACAAGTCTAGATCAATACAATTTCATGTCAACATTGATATTGTTGATTAATGACATGAAGCTTGAATAGATAAGATTGATCAAAATATTAGGGAATCAAATGAAATTCCTAATTTAACCCATTTGTTATCATTACTATTATTATTAGATTTGTAACTTTTAGTAAATTTGTGGACCAAATGTTCATTGTTCTTCTATTTGGTATCATTCTTTTAAGAACTTTTCTCAATGTTCCTCATGTTTTGTGCTCAACAAAAAGTGCATCCCTTTCCATTTAACTATATATATTCAATGAAACGTGAACCATAAAAATGGAGAAAATCGATGCAAAAGTAAGGAGATTCGTTTCATTAGGTATAATGTGTTTTTGAATTCATGCAATTATGCAATTATTAGAAGGAATGTATTGGTGTTCATGAACATGCCAAAGATTTTAAAAACAATATCATTAACCTTTCAATTACATCATCTAATTTTATGAATATAAAATTTAAAACTTTAGTCATTTTTGTTCCATATTTAAGGATTCTATTGGCATGATTAAGTTTAGAACATGGTTCTGATACCATGTTAGATGAACACGACTCTCCACAACAATATGATATTGTCTAATTTGAGCATAGACTCTCATAGATTTGGTTTGGGCTTCCGAAAAGGCCTCATGTCAAACCAATGTATTCCTTTATTTATAAACTCAGGATCATCTCCTAAATTAACAATCGGCTCGTAATCGAAGATATATATCAAATATTGCTAAGCTTATCTCACGTCGAGAATATAGTTCAAAGAATCTCGTATATTATTCAAATTACCTAAAAAATAAATAAATGGAAAAGAGGCCCCACATAAATATTGAGGAAAAGTGAAAGGGGGGGCCAACGAAGTACCTCCTCTTTTGACAACAAAGAGCCGTTGCCAAAGCCACCAAATGCCTCATTCCAATGTTTTCTAAAAGGGCAAATTTTCTTTTCCTTTTTTTTTTTTTTTAAATTTTATTTCTTTTCCTTTTTTCTTTTATTTTATTTTATTGTTCTTAAACGGAATAATAATAATAATGCTAATATTTTCATTTCCATGCTTCTGTTATTGTCTGAGGGAACATTTTTGAAAAAAGAGTTCTCTCATGCCAAATTCCATCCATTTAATTTTTTGAATTAAAATTAAGATAAATATTTTTTTAATAAAAAAATTAGAAGTTCGAATATATATAAGAATATTAACTTCTAAGTTCATCGAACTTTGTTAATATATAATATTTTGTTGTTTAGGGAGACAATTATTTGAAATTATTGAAAAATAAATATTATTAATATATTATATGCTTTTTATTATTATTTAAGATGAGTAGGTTTTAATAATTTTAAGTTCTAAAAATTTGGACATCTTATGTCAATTTTGACTAGGTGTATTAATAATTAATTATTGTCATATTATATAAAATTAATTTTTTTAAAAAATAATATTCAAAGCTAGCTAGATTACCTTGATGCAAGTTTGAGGCTACCTCCAAATTAGGGAATTTTGGTCTCAAGTGATTTGTTGTGTACAACATTGTTCCTTTCATATCATTCAACTCCAACAAGAATAATAATGTGGAAGCTTCTCATCCAAACTCAAAGCCTACATTTTTCGGATACCAAATGAAGAGCTAGGTTTATTTCTCTTTGAACAATGGGTCCACAATACGGCTGCACGTCACCGCACGTCTCACTATGGTCAATCATCTATTCATTATTGGAAAAAGAAAGTGTAGCAACAGTGAATATTATCGTTGTACTTATTCCTTATAACATAATTTGAGGCCAAGTGCTCTAGGGTGCGCTAACCTTTCCAGGCTCATATGTACCTATTTATATACCTCTTCTAAAGAGTGCTCTAACTCATAACTTAAAGGTTTTCGATACTCTTAGCTCTATGTTTCAGGTTTGCCTTGGTCCCTCATCAACCTTGCACTAATTGTGCCTTTGTGGCCTATAAAAAAAGATTTCAAGTAAATCTCATAAGTATAGAGGAGTCCTTTAGTCTTAAAACGGAAACTATACTCCACATACATCGTCTTTTCAAATTATAACAGTAAACTACATGTTCATACTCCTCTTGGGTTATAACAGTATGTTACCTACCTTAAGAATAGTAAAATACCTATTACATTGTCTTTTCATGCTCATACGTACTAGAGCACTTTACATTCCTCCTCAAACCCTCCTCGAGTTCATAGTGGGAGGATTTTTTTGGGTACTCTTAGCTCTGTGTTATGTCTATCTAGGTCCTTTGTTAACATTGGGATAAATGCACATCGAGTCACTATGGCTATTGAGAAGACCCTAGGATAATTCTCACAAGTACGAAGAAGTCTTTCACTCTTAAAGCCGTGTTTGTACTCCACATATGTCGTGAACTAATTTTCAAGATTTCGAAACTGACATTCACTAAACAAACAAATAACAAAAGCAAATAAAATTGTAAAATAAAATGAAAAATGAAAAACCTATAAAATTTAAATCCAAATAAAATTAGATAAACAACCCACCAACTAAATAAAAAAATGAAATCAAATTAAAAAAGAGGTCGTTCAAATTCAAGATTCAATTACAAAACAAAATATAAAAGATTCAAATATAAAATTGGATTGACGCTCCGGAATGACCCCTTCTTTGACCGCTCAGCTCTCGAATGCTCCTCAACCTTGTCCGACAGCTTGCGTACACCTAAAAAAGAAAGAAAAAAATTGATGAGGATAAAAATCCTCATTAAGCAACCTACTTATAAGCTCTCAGCATCCTTATCCTATAGGTATCCACAAGCTTTACTCTAGGCTATTAAAAATTCGGGTCTAGTCTCTACTGCTATATAAGCATCTAGGGTGCCTCAAAGTTTCAAGTGGAACTTTAGCTAGTAATGGACTAACTCTAGGTACAGAGGAGGTTCACCCTTTTCTAGTGTCACAGGTCTTCTAGGCGACAAATTTCATCTTTGGGGTGAACTACTTTTCTGCCTTAGACTTAGAATAGCTTGCTTTGCGTAAGCAGTGTCTTAAGTAGTGTGTAGTTGGTGTCATTGGTTGAGGTGCTACCTCATTAAACTCTCTCTATGATGGAGACAACATAGTGTATGCTAGCTTCCTCCTCATCCACGAGAGGATAGCTCGCAAACCCTACCCCTAGGACCATCTACTCACCCTAGGTGGGAGAGCGACCCCCTGTGCTTGTCAACTACTAAGATTACTCGTGTAATCCCACGTCTCTTCTTAAGACGAATCTACTATGTAGGGTAATCCAACTAAACTATCGGTCACACAAACCTAATTGTCCTAGGTCTGGCTCGACAGTACTGGTACTGGAGTAGAAAGGGAAGTTGAAGTTGTTGACATTGTATCTACTGCTAATCTAGTGAGCTACCTTTGTCGTTCTTTGATTCCATAGAAATTTACTAGGTTAATAACAACATCTAGGCAATTTAAACTATCTCTTATTTTTAGTACTGTAACAGCCAAAGCCCACCGCCAGTAGATATGTCCTCTTTGAGTATTTCGTTTTTGGCTTCCCTCAAGATTTTTAAAATGCAACTTTTAGGGAAAGGTTTCCACACACTTATAAAGATTGCTTCGTTCCTCTCTCCAACCGATGTGAGATATCACAATTCACCTCCTTATGGGCCCAACGTCCTCACTGACATACCACCAGGTGTCTTGCTTTGATACCATTTTTTGATTTGTGTGTGTCATCCTTGCGTAGGGGCCATGCTAATCTTCTCTATATCCTTCGAATTTTATCGGATGTTCGACGACCTACATAACATCATAGCGAACATAAATGTTTAAAATCATAAGTCGTAATATATGTGTCTGTACTCATCATATTAAGGAAGTATCTCGATGCACATGACACACAAATATGCATGAGGTCTCCATAGATTATAATCATGACATAAAATATGATACAAGACATACCTTCATTTATCTATAACATAATAAATATTTGAATTATGCTTAAAATCCTATACATTCTTTCATACATAGCATAGCTTTTATGACAAGATCTAGGAAGGTTTATGCATCATAAATTGTCAATTTTTTAACAATTTTATACAACATGACATAGCTTATCATAGCATAAGATAGCATAACATCGAATAAAATAGCATAGCTTAACATATCATGCATACATATGACACATGCAGGGGTAATGGGGCACTCGTCATAATACATAATACAATTATACGATTATGTAGAGTACTCACTTGGTTATCCTAGGCCGGAATCACTACTCCTTGATGAAATCATCCAACCAAGCCAATAGTAGAGTCACTCGCTTGGTTGACCTATCCTTAATGCTAACTTAATGGTGCTCTTTGAAATTTAATTCTACTTAAATACTCCACCATCATAACTTAGAATTAACTTATAATTCTATTATGAAAATTGGCTCACATAGTTTTCCATAAAATTAAAATTCTATTATGGAAATTGGTTCACCCGATAATAATTTAAATTTAACACTAAAAAATTTAATTAGCTAAAAAGTAGTCATAACAATCTTAGATGCCGAAAAAACATATTAGACTCAAGCTGGATTAGCTGAGAAGCCGACCTTGAGCCATTAGAAAATGTATTCTCTAACTGGTTACGAACCGCTCAAGTAGAATGACGTTCAAGCTGGATGAAAGAGAAATTGTTGTACCTTAGTAAGCCTAAGAGACCGTATTTTATAATAGAGTCCAAGTCTCCCCTTTATTAATGTACACTTTCTCAACTTGAAATATGGGGGACAACTTTATTTTGTTCTCTCTTTTTTTTCTTTTTAATTTTGGTTATGGCACTTTTCTTATTTTTGCATACTTATCTTTATTAAGGAAATTAAACTTAGGGTTCCTGTTCTAAGTTATTTTCCAAACAATTTGAATCAACATTAAAACAATAGATGTTACAGAAATGGCCGCCAAAATTCGAAGATAGTTTAATCGTTGCAAAAGTTCAAGAAAAGTAAAAGAACTAAAATTCTAAAAAGTGTCTTGAAACCAAAACATAAAACATAATATCGTTTACACTAAAAAAAAAACGAAACCACGTTAGACGTGAATGCCACAAATAGATCAATGACGATTGCATGCCAGGCTAGCCATGTCGTCGTCCGTGCTGAGAAGACGTCCAACCCGCGAGCACACAAACAAACTGTGGGTCACAAACCCTGAAGAGTTGTGGCAGAGTCTAGGGTGGGAGAAGGGGTCATGGAGGCCCAGCTATTAGCGTAGAATTGTTGGTTGTCGTATAAGGTAACTCTAGAGTTCATGGGTATCCTGTGGGGGTTCACTGACCGGAATGAACATGCTGAAGAACAGGGTGCTAGGCCTGCCATCCTCGTCAAGGAGGTGAAGAACACAAATAATAATAATAATAATAATAATAATAATAATAATAATAATAATAATAATCTTAGGGTTACTTTTTCTAAATTTGAATTGAACAAAAAAAAAATAATAAATATATATATATATCTCCCTTTTCCCTTTTTCAATAACTAGTAGGAAAACAGAGAGAAAAATTAAATTCTCAATAAGTTAAAATGAAGCAAAATTTTAATTAATCTAAATTAATCCATAAAATAATAATATTAGTCTATAGAAATGACTCGAGAAAATACGTAATATTATATAAAAAAAATAAAAGGGAGAATAAAAGAGTAATTAATATTCAATGTCCAACTCCCGAATTTAGAGGTATAAATGGATTGTTTCCTTGAAAAAGAAATCATTAAAATAAACAAATAAATTGAGCTTTTTAATCTAAATAATAAAATATTTTATCGTAATATAAAAATATTTTTGTATTGTAAATATTTATAGAAAAATATTATATCTAATAAATAAAATGATGAAATTATTTCGGTTTAGATCTTCAATAATAAATTATCGATATAATGATGATATACTTTATGGTATATCAAAATATACTCTATTAATAATAAAAATGGCATATTTTAATCTAAAAGAAAAGGAAAATGGTCATATTGCAAAAAAAAAAAAAGAAAATCAAATTTTTAACAAATTTACTACCCATTATAATTTTTCTTTTTTTCTTTTTTCTTTTTTAAAAAAAAAACGCCATTATTTTTCGTAAATAAATTAACTAATAAAACATACTAGACACAGAATGAATACAGCCTAGAATAAATTAAATAAATAAAGATATGAAAAAGTAATTTAAAAAAAAAATAATAATAAAATCTGAAGAGGGCCCTACTTCCAAAGCATGCTATATAAATAACCACAAAATCACTTTTATACATCAAAACTTCTCTCTTCAAAAAGCACTAATCGTCTTCTTCTTCTAAATCTTCTTCCTCTCTCTCTCTCTCTCACAGTCCGCCCCTGAGTCAATCGCACTTTTACCCATTACCAATGGTCGACGTCGACCGGAGAATGACTGGTCTTAACCCGGCCCACCTCGCCGGCCTCCGCCGTCTTTCCGCCCGTGCTGCCGCTACCTCCACCGCCTCCTCCGCCCCCCTCCGCAACGGCCTCCTCTCCTTCTCCTCTCTTGCCGATGAAGTCCTCACCCATCTACGAAACTCCGGCGTCGACGTTCAACCCGGTCTCTCTGATGCGGAATTCGCCCGAGCTGAGGCTGAGTTCCGCTTCGCCTTTCCTCCTGATCTCCGGGCAGTTCTCTCCGCTGGCCTCCCCGTTGGCCCCGGTTTTCCTGACTGGCGCTCCTCCGGTGCACGCCTCCATCTTCGGTCCTCCCTCGACCTACCAATTGCTGCAATTTCCTTCCAAATCGCTAGAAACACTCTCTGGTCTCGCTCTTGGGGTCCCAGGCCGGCGGAACCGGAAAAGGCCTTACGGGTTGCGAGAAATTCGCTTAAACGAGCTCCTGTTTTGATCCCCATTTTCAACCATTGCTACATTCCCTGCAACCCGCCCTTGGCTGGGAATCCGATCTTCTTTGTCGATGAGAGTCGAGTTCTTTGCTGTGGCTTTGATTTGTCGGATTTCTTCGAACGGGAGTCTCTCTTTCGATGCTCTGCTTCCGATTCCGATTCGGGTCCTCTGTTTTCGAAACAGAGGTCTCTCGCCGAGAAGTCCTTTGGATCGTCCACGAATTTCTCGCGACGGAGCTTAGATTCGGGGGTTGTAAAAACGCCGAGGTGGGTCGAGTTTTGGAGCGACGCCGCCGTGGATCGGCGGCGGAGAAACTCGTCGTCGTCATCGAATTCCTCGCCGGATCGGTTCTTCGAGTTGCCAAGATCCGAAATCCCGAAGTGGGTTGGGGAGTATATTGGAGAATTAGGATCAGTTTTGAGATCGGGCGGGTGGAGTGAATCGGAGGTGGCGGAGATGGTGGATGTCTCAGCATCAGGATTCTTCGACGGCGAAATGGTTATGTTGGATAATCAGGCAGTTTTGGATGCTCTGCTTTTGAAAGTGGACCGGTTTTCCGGTTCGTTGAGACGGGCCGGGTGGAGCTCCGAAGAGGTTTCGGAGGCGTTTGGATTCGATTTTCGGCCGGAGAAGGAGAGGAAACCGGCGAAGAAGCTCTCGGCGGAATTGGTGGAGCGAATTGGGAAACTGGCTGAGTCGGTTTCCCGGTCATGATACGTGACTGTATTTTTCTCTTTTTTAAAACAAAAATATATATATTTTCGAAGTTTAAGGCATTCGATTTCCGAACTGTATTTTACCCTTTTTTTTCCCTCTTTCCTCGTTTTAGGTAAAAGGGAAAAAAAAAAAAAAAAAAAAAAAAAAGAAAAAGAGGTATATGGAAATTACGAGTTTGTACTATTTGGACAAAGTTTATACAAAAGGATAAAAAATTATTTACTTTTTACTTTTCTTCTCCTTTCATTAAGTTAAATTACAAATTATAAATACTCTCTAATTAATCTATATTTTAAACTTGATTAAATTCTATTTATAGTTAAAAATTTAAATTTTAGTGTTAGTATTAATAATATTGTCGTCCATATTTATCAAATAAAATTGAAATACTTTTCTATGATTGGTCAATTAAATCTATCTTACCTTTATGACCCTGACTTACTAAAAAGAAGAACCCTCTCATCATCATTTATACCATTCAAATAAAGAACATGAACGAGTATCTTTTTAAGCTTATCTCAATTATTTAAAATATATATCTTTGATAAAAAGAGAGACGTTCAATCTTTAAATTTATTTCCGGTTAAACTCAAAACATTAAATAAAATAAATGGCCACTAAATACTAGTTTATTTATAATTAATAATTAATTAGAAGATATTATTTGGTTTTATTATGTTGAAATGACAAACAGCATAGTTTTGCTGAACTAATACGTACACCCGCACGTGTAACTGTGCTTTCAGATTGCAGTATCGAGATTCACGCGCCACTCGCCACGATGCCGCGTTCTTGTCATTTCATTACAAACATTTCCCTTTTTTTTTTTTCTATATAAAAATATTAATGACAATAAATATTACCATTTTGCTATTTATGGTGGAAAATAAATTACAATTTATTTGTAATTAAAATTCATGTTTTGATAAAAGAAAAAGAAAAGAGAGGCAAAATTGAGTGTATTCTTTTGAGAAAATCTATCTCAAATTGAGGAATAGGGACTCTTTTTGTTTTTTTTTTTTTTTTTTTAATTTTGGTATTTGAAAAAGATTTAGGTTCGAGGGTAGATTATGAATCTACCATAACTTAATCTAACGATTTCTTTTATTTTAGTTCTCTTCTTATTGACCTTTTGCAATCTTGTCTTTTTCTTTTGTTTCATTCTCACTAGTTTGGCATCGTCAATGGCATAGCTTCAAC